GTAAGTCCATCAAAAGTCTATCGAAAGTCATTCAGTCTTAAGCCAATTAACAAGCTACAATGTACTCAAATGAGCTGTGACAAAAACATTCCTTTGTCATCGTTCACCCTGTTACTTACATGTATGACTGGCCTTGTGACTGGACTTTTGACTGGCCTTTTTACTGGACTTTTGACTGGCCTTGTGCCTGGACTTTTGACTGGCCTTTTGACAGGCCTTGTGACTGGCCTTGTGACTGGACTTTTGACTGGCCCCCTTTTGACTGGCCTTGTGCCTGGACTTTTGACTGGCCTTTTGACAGGCCTTGTGACTGGCCTTGTGACTGGACTTTTGACTTGCCCCCTTTTGACTGGCCTTTTGACTGGCCTTTTACTGGCCTTTTGACTGGCCTTGTGACTGGCCTTTTACTGGCCTTATGATGGACTCGAATACAACCCTTTGTAACAGTCTGCAATTCCTGCACCCTTTTTGTTTTACACAGATTCCCCTTTTTTCCCCTTCCTACCCCTTTCTCTCTTAGCCAGTTTTGCTGTGACTCACATGATTAAGTACCATGCGAGTGCCGTGTGGCACCAATACGCTTACCCGCATTGTTTACAGGTTGCAGGGCAATCAATCAATTTTTAACCACGTCCAGAGGTAGGCATTGTTAGGGAGTCATCCTAGGCTGGATGGAGGTGTGGCAGTTATAAATAAAAAAATGGGGGCAATTTCATCTGAGTTGGGATTAATTATTTTTGGAAATTGTATTTAAAGAGATGGTGTTGTGTGGATCCTTCAAGTGTGTGAGATTCATGTACACGTATAACATCTTGTACAACTGTTCATACGCACATGAGAACCACTCCAGGTACCGCTATGCTTACAAAAAAAGGACATTTTTTTCATACATCTGCACTTTAATTTTTACAGTTGTTTTTATTGGTTTTCATGCCATAGCACGGGGTTAAATGAGGATACATGTACTGTGTTGCTGGTAGTCTTTATACATATACAATCATTGGGGTAACACTTAAGATACATGTACATATGTACAGTACATGTACCTGCAAATGGTTTCATAGCAACAAATACTGGTACTTATCAGATGCAAGGGGCAGGGAAGGTTCACTGACTGCTCGTAATGCATCATTTTTCCACATTTAAATGTTTTTGAACACTTGTTTTAATTTATATATATGTATCTATATACACGTATACCAGTACATGTAGCCATACATGTACACAAAGATGTGGCAATGGTCATTATCTCCACCATTAACATAAGCGCTTCTTTTTTTTTTTTAATTCTTGCTGGGTTCTCGGAGAGGTGCCCGATGATTCAAACGTACATGTAGTAGCATCAACTACCCGTATTTTTCTATGCACTTGAGAAGTACAGTGCTTGTATACACAGTAGATTACTGTATCTTAATTAATAGGTCTTTTTAACAACACCTGATTTTAATTATGTTGTTGGATTCATTATTGTTCAAGTCTTTAATAGTAGGACTTTGTTATTATTGATGCAAGAGAGATTAACTTTATAAATCCAATTAGGCCTACCTGACAGCTTGTCATCTGAACTGATAACACAAAATACAATTTGTCATTGGAAGATGCTTCAGTACTATTTCTGTCACATACAACCATGCGCACGCATTTCTGTCACCCAAAGAGGATATCGGTTTTTGTCCTTTTTGATGAAAAAAGAGGAGCATGACTACACACCTCAATGTGAATCCGTGTGAAAATCTTGGGTTTGCTTGAATAGGCCACCTGGGGCCATGTACAGGTCCTTATGTTTTGCCATCTGCCTGATGGAAGGGCATTCAGGCATTTTTTAAAAACACAATTCACACTGTAACAGCTTGCTGAGTATGCCCTTCTGCAAGACAGTTCTTGTCTCTGCCCTACTCAAAAGATCCAAAGGCTTCTGATAAGATATCAGGAAACTTATCTCAACTACACTTTTCCCTTTGCATTTGAGGAATTCCTGAACAAGCTGTGAAAAAAGGCGATATTAGATCGTGGATAGGAAAGGGGGAAATTGGAAACAGATGGAAATCTCACAGACATTGTGCCTTCTGTAAGGAAAAAAGATGGAGGATATATCAAGTTTGAAGTAAAATTGATTAGGGACTTCAGTCATGATAGACCAAACCCATGCCACCATCATCCAAAATATTAATGCAGAGAAAAGTGAAATTTGACATGATGCGAGATGGCTTTTGTGGAAGAAAGATGTATGGATTCTTGTCTGTTTTCCCCACAGAAAAAGAGTCGGCAGGAGAGCAGCGGAGCTGGTAGCGGCGTTGAGATTCTCATCAACCAACCCTACGAGGATGGGCCAGGAGGTAGAGGCCAGTACACACACAAAGTCTATCACATAGGCAGCCACCTACCAGGTGGGTTCTCTTATCTTGTACAATAATAAACGTATGTCAGTGTTAGATGGTGTCTCCCCTCTCCTCCCTCCCACCCATTTTTTCTTGTTTGTCTTTTTGGGGGGAAAAGATTTTTCTTTTTTTTTCTCTTTCTTTTGTCTTTTTCCTTCTGCCTTTGCCTTCAACTGGTTAACCCCTTTGCACCGGGAATTTCTTCCGAAAGCCGACTCCAAGAATTCCAGCCGCGCGTGGCCATGAAGGCCACCTGCCAAACCGCAAATTAGGCAGCGCAAATTAGGTAGCGCAAATTCTCGGTTTGTGGCCCTGTGTGCTCTGCACGCTTTGAATTACATGGTGAAAAGGCTGATTGTTCGGTGGCATGCGGCTCTACTCACGCTTCCACATTCCCTTTGCCTCTTTTTAAAGTGGGGACTATTGTGAAGTTGGTGATTATGATGCAAATTCGGTCTTTTCATTTCTGGGCTGCACAGAAAGGCCAATTACCATATGTACAAGAGCCAGGGTCTGCCTTCTTTCACCGTGTTCGCTCGAGCGTGGGCCGAGAATAATAGCTGAAAAGTGGGCTGAGGATCTCAATTTTTACAGTGTGTCTAGCTGCGTCCCGGGGCGAAGTGGTCAATAACTTTAAAGAAAAATTCTCCCAAAAATAAACCTAGGTCTACTCATTCAGGTTTGTGCAGGTTCCCCTCCAGTTGGAATGGCCTTCTTCATTTAATGCCGTTTGCACTTTTCTCCTTCCATTGAAATGCTGAATTCACCACTGTAGAAGTTACCGGTACTTACGTGCATTTAGAAGATTTTTTTCAGAAACAATCTCTGGGATGTGCAGAAGCTGCCCAGATACCACACCCTCTTACTGTGGCCTTGCACGTGGAGATGCACAAATACATAAACCTGTGCACCAGTCCAATTAAACTTGCAAGTGGCTTGTTGACCCCTCCCAATCTCCTTATCCCGCTGGCAGGCTGGTTTCGTGCAATACTTCCCAAGACAGCTCTGCGAGTCGAGGAGGAATCCTGGAATGCTTACCCTTACACCAAGACCCGATACACCTGCCCGTTTGTGGAGAAATTCTCTGTGGAGGTTGAGACCAAATATTTTCCTGATGCTGGCCATCAAGAGAATGTCTTTAATTTACCTACAGCTGAGTGTAAAAGTAGATTAGTAGGTATGTTGTGCCTTTCCATTTCTTCAGAATTGTTTATCAACAAGCGATGTTCCAGAGAAATGAATAGACCGTGAAAAATTATTGTCCAACCAGGTACACCTGCTCAACAGATTTGGATTTCGATATTTTAAACTATTTATCGCTGAGTTTGTGTTTAATTCCTCAATATTCTCCTCACTTTAGAATTCATCGACATGGTCAAAGACCCGATTTCCAGTAGTGACTACAAGAAAGACGAAGACCCTAAGATATATGTTTCTAAGAAGACGGGCCGTGGCCCACTGACCAACGATTGGATTACTCTGGACAACGACGGGAAACTTGTCCCCATCGGAGGCTGCACAGATATCATGTGTGCCTACAAACTCTGCAAAGTGGAGTTCAGATATTGGGGGATGCAGAATAGAATAGAGAAGTTTATCCATGATGTAGGTAAGTCAAAAATTATGCCTTGTGGTTGATTTCATCCTTGTAACCCAGTCTGAGGTGAATCCAGTCACTTTCTTATTTAGGTTTACAAGTATATTATATGCAAATTTTGTCTAGAGGAAGGAGTGGCTTACATCATGCGTCTTTGTCAAAAAGTTAAAGTGAAATTCTCGGAATATATTTTGTATATTTCAGTTTTAGTTCCTCAGCTGTAACAGGTGAGATGGGAGGTCTGCCCTTCCTCCAGTCTTGACAGTGCTGCTGGAGATATGATTGAAACTTGGTGTGATCGTAGACATACAGTTTATATATGTTTTAGCATTTTATGTAAAGAGTCCATGGACAGTGTTGAACAAGGTTGGTGTCAAAGTTGTCAACAACACATCATTCTACAGACTTGCAGACCAAGCAAGAGAAATATTGATAAATAAATGAATCAGTCCTCTTTCTGTTCATGTACCCTTAAGCCTTGAACAGAACCATGCTACACGCCCACCGACAGGCGTGGTGCTGGCAGGATGAATGGGTAGGACTGACCATCGAGGACATCCGGCAGTTAGAACGGGAGGCAGCCAAGGAACTAATGGAGAAGATGGCAGAAGCTCATTTGGACGAGACGGGCCAAGACTTAGCCCACAACGACTTCACCAACGAGAAGAACAATGAGCTGCAGAAACTGGAGTTTCAAGACACGCCCAGCCCGGACCGGTCGCCAGCCACCACACAAGCTGGGAACCGGCTACGTGATGCACAGATGGACTCTGTTTGCAGTGACTTCATGACAGATGACGTACCCATTAGTCTTGAAGATACCGAGATAGCAGTGGGATCAATGAATCTCGGAACTCGCAGGTTGTCCAAGAGACTGTCAACTGAAAGACGAGGTAGGAAGCTCATAAGTAAAATTGGTATATTTTAAAAGATTCAAAGCAGTTCTACAGCAAAAGTATGTTGGAGAAAATTATTCAAATATAGATTTTGAAAAGTGAAATCAAATCTACTTGCAGCTTTCTGTTCGAATCGGTGTAATAAGTGAATGATTTTGTAAAATTGGTTGTGCCCTTGATGGTAAATATTGGACAAAACATATGAAATTCTGCAAAATTTAGTTTCTTGATCAGTCAGTGAAGTTACAAAAGAATTTGTCCCGTTGCCCATTGGCCTTCTTGAGAGATTGTTTTACCATGCCTTCACACCTGTAATGGTGTACCATACATGCATGTTCACATACATGTACACGTGAACATGTTCAGGACATTTAGTTGAAAGTGATCACTGTGAACAAGAATGGAAAATTTGTGAACAGAATTCACTGTGACATTTCACATGGTGTGAATTTTTTTCCTACTTGTTTGAAAAGACATCCAAATCATTTGGACCACTTGTGTGAAAATGTGTGAAAATCCTTTTCCCACCTGTGTGAAAATCCATAAAAATCTTTTCCCACCTGTGTGAAAATCCATAAAGTCTTTTCCTACCTGTTTGAAATCCGCGAAACTCTTTTTCATAAGTCAACTTTCAGTTGCATTGTATTGTACATGTATGTACCCAAGAGGGCAAGATTTTAATTATTGCACTTGGGTCAGCTCTTTGCATTAAGAAGCACTGAGCTTGTGCACTCCTCAAACAGCTCAGATCTGTCACAGGAATCCTTCGTGGGCATGATGAATGTTTAGTAGAATGTATAAAAAATTAAAGGTGACTGTTTATTTGTGTTTTTGCCGGTTCAAGTATGCGTTTATGTACAATGCGTTACAGCTCACACCAGCGTGACAATTTATTTTCCTGTGACATTGACATGCCAGACTGACTTGTGCAGTTGTGTAGAAATGTCATCAGTGTTCTGTCTTCCAATTGAGATTCATAATCCGATTAAATGTTTGCGATGTCACGGTTGGCCAGCTGCCACTCTTATGAGTCGTTTCTTTGCTAAGTAGATTTCTCAAAATCTGTGACAGAAGAGCAGACCACATCTGTATGTACTAGTGTATTTTATTGTATGACTGCATAACTGCTTTTGGCTAATGTTCAATTCAAGGCCATAGTAGGAAATATGATTTTAGATTCTGAGAGCTTGCTCAGTAAAGCTCTTAACTCTGTCAATATTTTTACAAGGAACCTGTTCTAAATCGACGAAAATCCAGCATTCAGTAGGAATACAGTGACACCAGCTTTGCACTTGAATACAATTCGAATTTTACCCATCATGACTATCATTTGTACATGCACCTCACTCATACATTGTCCTATGGTCCTTATCAAAGTGTCTGTGTGTCTAGTAAGACATGTAGTTGCTGGACCATGTAGTGTTGGCCTCGATCCATCAATACTGTAAGATGGAAGAAAATGTAGGCTCGAGAAAAGATAATTCAACACTTGCAAAAGAACCTGATGTAATCATTTTGGAATTTTTTCTTTTTCATCTTCTTCTTTCGATCACTTGTTTAATGAGACAAATATATGTTTGGATAAAACCAACTCCTGAAAATAAAACTTTTCTGCTCTGATTTTCAGGTGTTTGTCGTTTGTCATGGCCCCTAAATCAAATACATTGATTGAAAAGATTTTTGCAATTTTCCTTGTGAGTGAGAGGTTGTATAACTGGTTACGCATGCATGGTACGTCTACATGTACAAGTACCAGTTAATTTAATAACCTCGCAGAAAGCTGAGCGGTTGGATGTCAGGTCTCGATGCTCTTAACTCTGATTTCTAGGAAAACCCATCCAGCGCCGAGGTTGGAAATCAAATTAAAATGCAGAAATCACCAATGAATTTGCCAGGCCTTTGTTTAGTCACATTTATAGTGCTTTTGTTTATTTGTCTGTTAGCAGATGGCTTTTTGCCAGCTTTGAACTGTGAGTTTGTGTAAGGCAGGAAGAGCTTTTTGATATGTTTGTGTAAGGCAGGGAGAGCCTTTTGATATCTCAAACTCACAGATTCAGCAATTATAATTTTGATTTTAAATAGGTCTTTTTCCTTGGTCTTTAAGGACGTTTCGCTCATATCATTCACATGATGGTCAAGTACATGTACTCAGATGGCGTGCATATTGAAATTTTCTCATTGGATATTGCGCATTTTTCCACTACCTTTCATTCCGAGTTCTTAGAAGTAAATGTGGATTATCTTTGAGGATTTTTCGAATGATGCCATTGTTTCCAAAACTTTCCATTTTTCCCCCAAATCTTATCCCAATTTGAATGTACATGAACCTTGTCATTTCAAAGATTTAGAAAACAAGATGTACTGGTACTTTATTTTTAGCCGCGGAGAGGAATTTTTCCAGTCATTCATATCATTTGATAGCAGATTTATTCTTGTTTGTACCATTTGTACTGGTAGGCCATTATATACCAGTAATATGAACAATTTGATTGGTTAAGCCAACCAATTTTATCATGGACTTAACCATATACACGTACATGTACCAGTGTATTCACATTGACATTGTCCGTAGATGGCTTGTAATGCACAAACGAATCTGCTTCAAATCCAGATAAACATGAGCATTGATCTTTGTGCATGTATCGTGTACGGGGCATCTACATGTACGGATAAATGGTACTGAGATACTACAATATGTCTGTACATGTAAAGGCATTTGGCATTGCAGTGTGAGATGTTTTAGGATATCTCCATGACATCTACTCTTGGAGTATCTCCAGCCACGATTTAGCAAGATTCCTATTCCTTTTAATGTGTTTATTTTTTGAATCATTGTAAGATTTCTGTTACTTTTCATTTGACTGCTTGAATTTGAAACAAGCCTCCATAGTGCAATTTTTCTTATTTATAACAGACGAGAATTTTCCTTTCTTTTTCATGAAGTTTGCATTCGAATATTCAAATTCAGAAAATATTTGAATATTCGATAATTGATTGAATCGATGCGGCACAGCCCTTGATGAAACTGTGTTCATTTTGAACCAGTTTATCATTCGTACACCGTACGTGCAATTTTGTCCCACCGAGAGCTGTCATCAACCGTTCACATATCTTAATTAAAAATATTCTTGTGGCTACCGCTGTTATCAGGAAATGTTAATTTGTGCTTTCAGGCAAGCATTTTCATAATGTGTGCCTGGGAAAGTTATTTCCTCATACCAAGTTAATGCATGTACATGTAGCTCATTTTCAGTATAATCCATGTAAGCAGGGGATATTAAGCGTGGGTGAAAAACATTATCATTGTGTGACGCCGATTAAAGACATGTATAGAATGTGAGAGATGCGGGTGTAAGATAGTGGGACATCTTGGAGCATTCTCATAATGGGCTGACCTTATTCAAAATTGATTTGCGGCACACTGTGTTAATTAAGAGTTGAAGCCTTGATACCAGGGGCATGCGGTACCCGGTACAAGATCCATATGTTTTTTAGATGGCAGGCATAAAGTGTACATGTACAGCGGCACATTTTCAGCTGTTCATAAATTTACTGCAACAAAATTCTTGTCGCTTGTACGTCGTTCAGAGAAAGTTATGAGAATAAGTTCCTTGTGAAATATCGGTAATTCTTTTAAGCAAGCTATTATTGTGCAGAAAGTAATGAAAGAAAGCCACTTCTAACGATACATGTACTGGTATTTTCTAAGGACTCATTTTTGGAAATTGCCGTTTGCTGGAGGTTCATTTTCAATTTGGCAAAGCACATGCATCACGCAAGCATTGACACAATTCAAATTCATGCGCGGTTGCTATAATTTGCAACACTGCATAGCTGCAGATTGCTGAATGAGAGCATGGCCTAAATACTAAATTTAGGCGCAATGACTCTGCAATGTTTGAGATAAAAATCAAGATCTTAGAATATTGTTTTTCTCGGAATGCACACCACTCACTGAACTCAGACTTCATGAGGTCATTTATAAAGCACCTTTCTGTAGGTTATAAGCACTTGTTTGTTAACAATTCACAAACAATGGACTGTCCCTGAACATGTACTTCTTGGAAAAATGACGGCTCTGAATTCTTTCTCAGTGTTAAAATGTGACTGAGTCACACATTTATATCAGTTGTATGGGTACATGTACTATATTCCTGCATACAGTTCACATATGAATCTACAGTAATCCAATAGTAGTAAATATACACGTTGACATGGAGACTGGAGATTGTTATCTAAAATGTTTGTCAGTTCTGTTGGAAAAAGGGAGAGGGCAGCTATATATCTTAAACATTACCTTTTTTGTCAAAAGATTGGTAGAGAGTGTCCCGTTACGGTTACTCAGGTAACAGAGATGTCTGTGCTCATTAAGTTTCTTTTACCTTCATTCTCTTCTTCATTATCTTCATTGTACGTGTAGAATAACTGTTTTATACATACTTTACGGTAATCATGAAACTTATCAGATGTGTCTTTGAATGTTCTTCACCACTCAGATGTGTAACTTCTGCTTTTTGATTTTTTTTATTTGAAGGGAATTTGTCAGCAAGATGTTTTGGCTGATCCGTTTTATTGTTGAGTTGATGTGCATGCATTCTTTCAAGCTTATTACCTGTTAAGTCTGTGACACAAAGATGCTCACTCCTGAGGTATTTTGTGGTGAAGTTTTGATAGTTTGCCATTTTCTTAACACATGCAGTTCTGTTTCTTGATTTGGTTTATGTAGGATCCAGCAACAAGAGTGACATGTTGGCACAATGGAGAATGAACAGCATCCAACAAGATTCGGATAGCTCTGAGGATGAGTTCTTTGATGCCCAAGGTAAGGACTTCAGCCTGGTTGGGTTGGAGTAGGGTTTGGTGGGATGGGTTGTGCTGGGAGTAGGGTTTGGTGGGATGGGTTGGGATGAAATTGGATGGGATCAGCACTCAAATATTTCCAAATCCCTTTTACTGTGATAGTTGCAAATCATGGAAAAAAATCTCATTAAACTCTCCATGTAAATTGACACTGCTTATTAATGCAAATGACGTGGAGTATTTCACGTCTGTGTTTGCTGATGCACTCTGCAGGGTTTAATGTTATTTACGGAGACAGTCATCCGTGCAAAGCACACGGGAATGAGAGCTAATTGTATTTGCTTTCACTGTAATGCAAGGTCATACCATAGACCAAGATGGGGAAAGAAATCTCAAGAGTATCCAATAATTTCTTTAATTATCCATTTTCTTGTCATTTCCTGTTGAGCATTGTGGCGTTGATATTATTTTTCTTACCAGGAGAGTATAAGATATCAAGCGGCCTCTCATTTTGTAACCCATAAGCCCAGGCATATGAGTGTTTATTGCAAATTGACGCACAAGGCTTAGTGTGTATGCATTGTTAAACATTTACTGAAAAATGACCACAGCCCACCAAAGATTCATCCAGCCTTCAAATAAATGAAAGAGACAAAAGAGCCTGACGGCTGAGACCCTTCAACTTCTAAGCTGAAGTAATTCTTAACAGACTGTGATGAACCTGTCAAATGATGTTTGACAGATTGTCTTCTAAGTTCTTGTCATTGTTTGTCCTCACCAGCTGAAGTTGATGAGGAACCTCAAGGCCTGTCCCAGTGGAGTTCTCTAGAAGCCCTCAATCATGCAGTGCTCGCAGAAGGTGAGTAATTGTAGAGCCTTCAAGGTTTTGAGGAAAGACCGTGAGCAGGGAAGATAGACTTGGATGAGGAAAGGGTGTGATAATATATGTGCCAATTTTGAATTTTTGAAGCTTGTTGTGGTTAAGCAAGAGAACCTAAAATACTTGGTCAAACTTGGCTTTGGAAGTACTGTATATTGTACTTTTTTTCCCCTGGCTTTCAGAAAATACAAGAAGTTTTGAGAAGATTTCATCATTTATGTCAAGATTTGCTTGATTGTAACAATGTCAATGTCTGACCATTTTAGTTCAGAGGAGTTTCAGTGATAACTCATACCTGCATTGTGGAGGTTAATCGGTTGTCTGTCCATCCAGGAGACTCCATCCCAGCCCCACCCCTCTCTGCCCCTGCCACCGGTGCCCCGGTCTGCGACATCAGCGTCCTGATCCTGGTCCTGCATGGCGGCAACATACTAGACGGCATGCAAGAGTCAGGGGCCAAGACCAGCGATGTCAACACATTCAAGATTGCCTTTGACGCCGTTGTCAGGGCCCACTTCCCTATTGCCCTAGGGAGGACAACCATTAGACTGGTGCCTTGCCCATCAACGTGCTGCGAGGCAATGGCACTTATGACTAGGTGAATAAGAGTTCCTTATCATGACAAAGTTGACATACAAGTAGATACAATGTATCCATTCTCTTGCATGACAGTTATGAAGTCTAATGATCATACTCAGCTGTAGATCTTAGTGTGAGGAGGATTTTTAGTAATTCAATTCTGTAAAGTGTCCGAATATTGGTGCTTGTTCAACTGTAATTCTAGTTGTGTTTTCAAATTGACAGGACAAATCTTATTTCATTTTCTATCTGTTTTCTGTCATTATATGTACATAGCCTCAGTCCCTATGGAAATGACATTTCAACTGAAAACAAAGTACCGTCCAGCAACAGTGAATTTATTCCCCTCGGAGCTCTCCCCATTCTTGCCACGTCATCACCTGATTATCCTGACCTTGTCTTAGCCACCATCAGCAACATGAACAAGGTCTACTCTGACTTCATTCACTCTGAGGACGGGCATGGATTTGACGGTCAGGTAGACTAATGTCAGATTTTGTCTACAAATTAACTTGAAACATCAATACCTCCGAATCCTTCAACGTCGGCGTAACTTTCCATATACATGTACCATCAGGGTTACAGTTAAGCCTGCGAATGTGGTGCAACTCTGTAAAGCTCTAGGCTTATTTTGTTTGTTTATTGTTGGTTTTTTATTAATTCTTTCCTGAGAGTTTGGCAGGTTAGCAGGCTTTGGGAAATGGTTGCTTACTTCAGGCATGTGAGAAGTCAGGTTTTTAGCTGATTTCAGCTTTTTTTTGTTTAGATGTTTTACCCTGTATTTCATCTTTTTTGTACACCTGGTCTGGATAAAAGTATGAGGACTTTTACATTTTAGCTCTTTGCTAGCTGTTTTCAGCTTTAATTTTAAGTGATCACTCACGTGAGTAACAGGTTCCTTGTCTGTTATACCCATTGCTCATGTGCTCATGTGCTGCCGTAGACTGTTACCCCTATACATATAACTTCTGCAAGTTACTCTCTCTACTGCCCAAAACTGCCTCAACACGGCACCATTTTGCAGATGCACAACACACAGTAACGACAATGTAGTTAGCATGTCAATGGGTCAATGCACTGGTGTGTTTAAAACAGAGATGTTGCACTTTTTACCTTGATCATTCACTGAGGGTTCCCTTGACTTCCCAGTCAGGTGCTTGTTTTAGGAACGGCTTTTTTTTTTTTTTGCACAGTAGTAATTCATTAGGTTTATTGAACACACTGTACATGAACGTAAGAGCTCAGGTCCCTTGAAGCTGTCTCCATAAAACAAGAGAGCAATGTCCGGTAAGAAAGGTGATAATGTTTGTCCATTCCAGGTATGTGTAGTCGCTGATTGCATGGGAGCTGTTCTTGGTTATGATGCCTTGTGCTGCAGCGTTAGTCACTGCAGTAGCACAAGCAGCCCTGCCAACCTGTCGGATACCTTGTCCTCACCACCCAGCTCCAGCAACGACACTGCCCATGACAAACCCTCGCCCCACAGATGTGCCTCCACCTCCCGATGCATGGAGCGTCTGACCTTGGAAGGTCTGGCCGACCCAGCCAGTAAACGCCTCAGCCTGAGCAGCAGCGATCTGCAGGCCATGCAAGATGAGGCGGTGGCCGTCCGCAGCCGCAGCGAGACATCGCCCACGCCAAGCCAATCCGAACGCATGCGGCATTTTTCCAGCCCCGTCTTCTTCAACAAGGAGATACCGTTGTCCAATGACCCACCATCCACGGCTGGTGCAATGGCCGGTATTGACTGGCGACGGACAAGCTCGTGCAGCCAGGCTAGTAGCATGTTCTTGGACTATATGACTCAAGTACCGTCCAGCCGACTGGAATTTGAAGTTCAGCAGTTTTTCATGTTTGGATCTCCACTAGGGATCGTGTTAGCTCACCGAAGGCTTTTACTAGAGAGCAAAGCAGGTAATACAAGACTCTTGATGCCTACAGCAAACTTTATTTCAGGAGAGTCAATAAGATTACAATTTAAATTTTTTTCTTAGTCAAGAAATAGTGCAAGACTAGAAACAGTGTCTCGTATTCCTGAAAGAAATGATTGATTGATCAACGTTTCACTCAGTAAGCTGTGGTCATTTCCATGAGCTTTGAGAAGCCAGCCTGAAGGCAACTTTTTCAATGTCTAGGTTTGTAACATTCTTTAAGTAAGCACACTTTGAGATTTACACATCATAGTTTGGGAAAACTTAGCATCAGTTACTCGTGACAGAAGAATTGGTGCAAAATTTTTCTAATCAAGAATCATTTTGCGCTTGTTTGGAAAGTGTCAGCCTTGTTTTCAGAATTTCCAGAGAAATTTTTACTGATAAATGTGACAAGATTTTAGAAAATCAATACTTGCAGAAGCATCATTAAGATTCATGATTTCACCTTGATTGTTTCCTCCTTTGATTTCTCTTTTCTTCTCAGTAACTCCACCTAGACCAGCTTGTCGTCAGATTTTCAATCTGTTCCATCGCACAGACCCATCAGCTGCCCGCATAGAACCTCTCCTAAATCACAAGTTCTCCCTCTTACCACCCTGTGCTGTAGCCAGATACCAGAAGTACCCACTAGGAGACGGCCACTCAATCAACCTTGGTTAGTCAAGTGGAATGGGTGAACGTTTGATGTCAAAATTCTGGGAGAATGTGACTGACTAACTTTAGGAGTGTCTTCATGTTTAAATGTCAGTCACCACAGTTTGACCAAATTCACGAGAATGATTGACTGACTGACTATCAGTGACTATCACTAGCTGAGGAAATCATTGGCATTACAATAACTTTTTAAGATGGCAGACACTGAAAACACAATGAGAGATACAGCCAGCCATGTGAACGATGATGGCATTTCACAAAGATGATTTGAGTGTGGTTGTTGGAGTGGAATTATATTTGAAGCACATGCAATTGTAGGAAATGAGTGACCATTAGTCAGTGACAGTTGGTATTCGAACCTCCCTTAACGTTAGACTTGTGCTGGACTTACAAGGGACTTGTCATGGACTCGAATGCAATGCTGCTTAAGGCCAGTTTTTTAAGTAATTCTAGTTGAGTTTTTGCTTTGAAGTATCGCCTTATGTGATTTTGTGATGAAATGGGTATTGTGTGGGTGAATATGTTAAGAGTTCCGTCTAACTGACATTTTACAAGATTCTTTTAAAAGTTTGTTACCGTAGCTTAACAGTGGCTCTGGTAACTTGTGACTCATTTTGTTGAGCTCAATTGCAAATGGTCACTGGCTAAAGTGCCGTGCATTGTCTATTGCTTGTGACTGGTCCTCTGTTGATTTCTGCTTAACATTTAACTTGGCTAAAGCAGGAGTGAGGTCTTTGATGAGTAGCATTTCCTTTACAAAATGGCCGACTCCTTCCTGTTTTTCTCCCTTCCAGTTGATTGCATAGCCCACCATACCATCCTATTCCTTGAGGGCCAGTCGGGCTGTGCTTCAGCTAACTTCACACCAAGCCACCGTCGGTTACCCAGCTCGGCAAGCACCTGTAGTGAGGTAGCCGAAGAGGATACCAGTGGCATGTCACCTGCCCTCACAAACGGTAAATTGCTGTCAACTGACCGCGGCCCAGTAAAAAATACCGGTATTTACCAAGCAAAATGTGCTTACCAGTCCCAAATGTACGTATCTTGTGACTGTTCACAGCACTTTTTTGGTAGTATATCAATTTGCCAAGCAATCTTGATGCCGGTAGCTTAGAATTGCTTAAAAGTCTGTCAGAAAAAATTGCACTAGGAGTGTATTTTACAGCTAAGACAAGACAATGCCTCTTTTTTGCTAAGTCACGATTGTAAGTAGACTTTTTCCTCTGAAGTTAATATTCTGTTTGATTTGAGTTTTGTTTACTGTCTCAGTGAAACTAGCAGTACTTGATAGCAGAAAAGTTGAATCACTTAGCAGTGATGCGATTTCAGGTTGTCATTATTTATGTTAAAGTGAGTGGTAGCCAGTATGTTTGTGTTGAATTGAAGCATTGAATTTACCTGCCAAGCATTTGTCACAACTACAAACTTCATTTCAGTCAGGTCCCCTTACACTAACTCAAGTTTCTTCTTTATGTGCAGTTGTGCAGTCCATCAGTGGTAGGTGGTGGGGTGCTAAACGCCTCGACTATGCCTTGTACTGCCCAGAAGCTCTCCAGGCTTTCCCCACCGGTGCCCTGCCTCACCTATTTCATGCCAGCTACTGGGAGAGTACCGACGTTGTGGCATTCATTCTTAGACAGGTAAACATGAACTATACTTGCAGCAGAAAGATTCAGAACAACAGAAAATTGCATTGGTCACAGTGTCTGCTTCACCCCTTCGCACCGGGAGGCGGCTAGACACGATGTAAAAATTGAGATCCTCAGCCCGCTTGGCCCACTCTCGAGCAAACACGGTGAAAGAAGGCAGACCCTGGCTCTTGTACTTATGATAATTGGTCTTTGTGTGTAGCCCAGAAATGAAAAGACCGAATTTGCATCATAATCACCAGCTTCACAATAGTCCTCACTTTGAAAAGAGGCAACGGCAATGTGGAAGCGTGAGTAGAGCCGCATGCCACCGAACAATCAGCCTTTTCACCGTGTAATTCAAAGAGAGCAAAGCATGCAGGGCCACAAACCGAGAATTTGCAGTTTGGCAGGTGGCCTTCGTGGCCAAGCGAGGCTGGAATTCTTGGAGTTGGCTTTTGGGAAGAAATTCCCTTCGTCAAGGGATTAAAAGCGAAGCAGACGCAAAGAAGTGGATTTAAACTAGAAGGGAGCTATTCTGTTCAGATTGGTTCATGTAAAGAAAGGAAAAGGACACAATTGGCAGGATGGATTTCCCCAATATGTCTTGTCTTTGTCATGTATTTTAATCTCATGTGTTTTGTGCATCTTTGCTGTACATACTGTGCTTTCAATGTTCATAAGATGTAACTGTTTTATATTCCGATCTTTGTGAGGCTCCTTGATATAAGATTATGACAAAATTCCCATGTTGACTCTACTAAGCATGTTCAGTGATATGATCTGGATTTGGACACGCCAACTTACCTGACTTTGCTTACTTCACAGATTTTCCAGAACGACTGCGTCAGCGTGCACACAGGTGACGGGACATCTACGACAGCGTTCATTCCTTCCAATCCTCGGGAGAAATGGCAACGCAAGAGAACAAGCGTCAAGATGAAGGTGAGATAAAAGCATGCTTGTGTTGGTTTGTAGGTTAATGTTTTGGGGTGGGAGGGGATTGAACTTGAAGGAGGGCGTAAACTTAACTGGACACTGTACAAAGGGTGACCTTTGGATTGGAAATCTGCCTCGAGCAGAAGCACCCCCTCATTGGTTGAAGAGAGCCATGTTGGTTGGGAGTGTTTAATTTGTTGGTAGTGATGCGACCACAACACATGCATTTCCTAGTCTCTTGTGAACCAGCGAAGTTTAGTTCTGACCAAAGGAGCCTCCATTGCTAAGACTATGGCACGTACATTTCCTAGTCTCTCAAGAACCAGCGAAGTTCAGTTCTGACTAAAGGAGCCTCCGTTGCTAAGACTGTCACACATTTTTCCAATTTTCAGGCATAAAGATTATAACATTCTAGTACATGCAAACAGGCACACTTGAAGCAAATATTTCATTCCTGCATTAGCCTGATTTCAGGCTTTGTTCAAATTTCAAAAGTTTAATATGTGCATACACTATCTCTGTGTCTGCTAAATTCAAGGCAAACTATCAAACAATCTGCTTACTTCCAAGAGACTTCTTGTTGCTAACCAAATGTGCAACTACACTTCATGCTGTGCAATCCATTTGTCAATCTACATGACAATAGCCACACTGTGGACGTAGATGGGAAAGTGTTCAGCCATCGGACAGATTAACTCTGCATGAGTAGCCAAGTTATCAGTGCCATCTTGACTTCTCACAGCCTGTGTGTCTTTTTAAGACTCTTTTTCTCCCATCTGCTTCCTTGGTGTGGCCTTTCTACATTACAATTGGACGGTTCAACCCTGTCGGAATGACCATTACAATAAGCCAACCCAGTGAGTGATCTATGAGTGTGCTGTTCAGTTTAATAGAGCGTTTTCTCCGAGCAGGAACAAAAGAGGGCGAGTTTTGAGATGAAATTGGCAGTCCTGTGGTACGCATTCACTGCATAAACACGCAAGTTTGTGTGCATTTGACGCGGAGCAGGCCGAGTACACTGAATTTAGTCTAGAATGTATGGTCTTCGCATGTACACTGAACGCGTGCGAGAGCCCTGGTGGAAAACTTAGTACCCTCTGTCTCTCTTTCACCGGTGAGGGTGCACTTCAGCTCACGGCAGATTGGGGACTAACAGTAGGATCCTTTTTCACTGATGAAACTATCTTCTGTGAACAAGAGCACAAGATGGCATGCCTTTACATAGGAATGATATCCTTGCTGTGAGCAAAACACTGCATGTGTGCACAGGTTCGCGCATGTATTGCGCAATACAAACTGAGCATGTGCAATCAGCTTCTGTTGAAAGGTGTGGTCTTTGTAGGTGTGTCATGAACAAAGGCATGCCTTTTGACGGTCAGAAATAGCAAAAAAAAAATTGGCTCAGTGGTACTGTATATTCTTCAGAGAATTTCTTTGGAAACTTTAATTTGGTGAGAATTGCACTTGATGATGTGGCATTCAAATCCTCAAAGCAACAAACCAAAGAGTAACAACTGTACCAGTTCTTATGACCACCAAAACACACCCCAATTGAAATTTCCCCACCTGCCTGTCATTTCCTTGCCGTTGAGGCGGTACTTCTACTCAGAGAGGATGCTAGGGGTAAATGGTGTTGCATTACCAATTGAACAGCCACCGGAGTTTAGCCTTTGATTTGATTGCTTGTTCTTCCTTCAGCAAAATGTGAATCCCAACCATCGAGTGCAGGACACAATTTGCCTGGAGGGAGCCACACAGACGCTGACAGGACGGTTCATGTACAGCTCCCTAGACATGGTGACGCTGACCGGAGAGAAGGTCTGTATGTTTTGTGGGGAACTCAAAGTTTTCATAAAAAAATCACGGAATTTGATTTGCCGGTTAGTGTTGCAAGATCTCACGCTAATGCCTTTTACACACTAATCATGCACGTGATGTATTCACTTCGGTACTTTATATTCTTTGGAAGCAGTGTCTGAGTAGTGATGGATTTTTTTTTTCTAAATTATCTGTGGACAACAAGTGAGGTTTAGCCATGAAGTCATGAAGATATGTGCCAAGTTGCAAAAGTCAAACAATAAATTGTCCTTTTTTTTTTACCAGGTTGACATTCATATTGTCACTCAGCCACCGTCGGGTGAGTGGGTCCATTTTGCTACTGAAATCACCAATAGTCACGGCCGCCTGTCCTACACAATCCCAACCACACGTAGTCTGAGTCAAGGCATCTACCCTGTCAAGATGGTTGTGAGGTAAGGCTTCCTCTGAAGAGGCTTCAGTACATGGTTATTCAACCACTTCCAAGATGTGGGTCTCCAGTAAATTACTTGTACAGGATCTAGGATGAAATCTCAGTGTAAGAATTATCAGATGTCTCAGAAAGTTGGGCTTGGTTTCAGAATAGCACAAGCTGATATTGAGTTGATGTCACAGATTTATAGTTTTTGGGGCTTCATTAATCAGCCAATGTGCATTGTAATTTTCATAGTCTCCATAAGAAGTGTCCTAAGAGAAAGATTTCTGTAAATATACACAATAAATACTTGCTTCAGTGTCTATTTGTATCCAAAATATCCCAAAATCATGCCAAGTATTTAATCCTCAACCCTCTTATATTTTTGGAGTATTTGAAAGAGAATCCCTTCTTTTTCAGAGGAGACCACACATCAGCTGAGGGCTATCTTGCCATTGTACCACCCAAGTGTGAATGTGTTGTCTTCAGCATCGATGGTTCTTTCACAGCCAGTGTGTCCATTATGGGTCGGGACCCCAAGGTCAGAGCTGGGGCGGTGGATGTTGTCAGGTAGGCAGTTTTTGGAAGTGTCAGAGTTGAATGGGGGCAAAGATCAAGGGACACAGGTCACCAAAAAGCAGTTTTC